GACTTCATAACACATTCCTTACTACCTCTCCTTTATTGACTGAACTTGACTGACTGACTTGACTGCATGCCTGACTGCCTGCCAGCCTGCCTGCCTGCCTGCCTGCCTGCCTGCCTGCCTGCCTGCCTGCCTGCCTGCCTGCCTGCCTGCCTTGCCTTGCCTTGCCTTGCCTTGCCTTGCCTTGCCTTGCCTGCCTGCCTTCCTTCCTTCCTTTCCCCTCCTTCCCTGCCTGCTTGCCTGCCTGCCTGCCTTTGGATAACTTAAGTTGGCAAACCAAGTGGCTGTCTGTACAAACATTCTTGGAAATGTGCTAATGTGAACCTTTAATGTGTACATGTGTTAGTGCCGGCCTAACACTCGTTGTACACAATAGTAAAAATACAAAATAAATAGTAGGATTTAAAAATGTCAAATTAGTAAGATTAGGAGAAGGCTTAAATTCAAAGGAGCATGTTAGTGATTGGTGATGAAATATGAGAAAAACAAGAACCGCCTCTTAAGGGTGACGTTTAATGGAGTGAAGTATATGACAGAAGTGCTTCAGAATACCAGAAAACTGCAATGTGACGAGGATGGTAAACTTTGGTCAATAAGACAAGACCTCTCAAAAGAGGACAGAGAAAAGCTGAAAATGAATCTTATTGAAGCAAAACATCTAAATGGGGATAGAAAGGAAGAAGAAAGGAATTCTTTTTCTACAAAGTGTCAGGGACTGGAAAGCTTGTGAAATGGTACATAAAGACAAAGCAACAAAATCATTAAAGGAAAGGGGTGTAAAGAACAAAGGGAAGGGAAACATATTCCTGAAAATAGTTGTTTTTCCCTACGTTTTAACACTTGCCTATAGTGAGACATCACATTGTCTCACTATGAATGCTCTCTTATTTTTCCTCTATCGTCATCCTCACAACTATTTTCTTAGGTTGAACATTACCACTGACTGTCTTGGAAACCGCAGCATGATATATAATAAGAACTTGTATGTTCAGAAACCAAAAATCCTCAAAACAATGAAATTCTTCACAAAGAATTCAAATGCGATCATCACTAGGTGGGAGACACTGTTAAACTGAGGCGCCACACGCTCGGTGGACCCATACGTGAGTAAACAATTTCCAAAAACTGAGGCAAACAATGAGTACCAAATAGAATTTTTCAAAGAAATTGAGTACGAGAACCAAAAAATACGAAAACAAGGGCATACGAAAACTGAGGTTCCACTGTATATCTTTACACCTGTTTTGTGTATTAAAATGGCTACAATTTTATAAGTTAATTTCTTTCTGTAAATGATGATAAAGTGCAATAAAGGTATCATTCCAACTTTGTAGGAAATTGGTAAATTCTAATTATATCTTGGTTCTTATACTTGAAATATTGTTACATTAAATGTTTGAAAACAAAGTTTATATCTGTATTTTTAATGAAATATAAAACATTAATGTTTATCAACACAATTTCTTGAATTACATAATTTATCAGCATTGTGCAGCTTGTGTTCACTACCTGGCTAGACACTGATTCATAGGTAGTTTCCATGTGTCCGGACACCGGCGATGATGTGGTATTTTTTATTTAACCATATCTTGGCTTTCATTTAAGATATATATTCTTTGAAATGTAGTCACATTATCTTCTACATCCGTCTTTCTTCTGACATATAGATCTTAAAGGTAATTAGCATATACAGTACTTTGTGCAAATTAATTACACAATTGATTGGCTGGTGTGCAGGGCTTCAAACTCCCTGAGCTAGCCACAGTAACTGTAACAGTATAAAATTACACAATAACTACAGTATAAAAATCCATATATTTTCACTTTCACTTCAGTTATATTTATGACAAATGATTTTAAATGAAGCTTATATATCTACCTTTCTGATATAAAAAAAATGTTTTTATTACAGTACTATATCTAGATAAAATAACATTGATCTTCAAAAGGTCGTAGTTCCCATCAATAGGGAGAGTGTCGGCCAAGAAACCTTCTTTAAAATATGAATATCTTTCCTCTCTAATAAGACCAAATCTCTGTGATGGATTTTCAAAAAGTTTTTATCTCTGCCTCTCTAACAACATATACATATATAAGCTTTATTTTTTAATTTCTATTAATTAAACAATATATCAGAGACGATGTAGAGTTCAGTGTTTTATGAACGAAAAGACATAGGTAGTTTAAGTAGTGAACACATACCAACGAATAACGATAGCATCTATAAAAAACAAACTATTGTCCTATGGAGTTAACTTAACTTCCAGACACATATTTTTAAATAAATCTTAAATGTTTTGTGGCTATTTATGATAGATATTATTATAAATATGCATTCTACTTGATAATATCACCAATTAAATTTGCGACAATTTGAGCATAGAAGTGCGACGACTGGATCACTGAGTACAGAAGGCTGATATGCCAGCAAGCACTCTCCAGGCAACACTATATCTTGGCTAAGTCACTCCATAACATTGTCACTTGGACCGTCGACGTCCTATGGCGTCACCTGTCACATACAGTGGTACCTTCGTTTACGATCCTAATTCATTCCCAGGGATGGCTCGTACACCAAAAATTTGTAAACCAAAACAAATTTTCCCATAAGAAATAATGTAAATTGAGTCAATCCATTCCACACCCCCAAAAATATTAACTTAAAAATACATTTTATACAGAATACTACTCATATTTTTCATACACAAAACAATCAGGTATAAATATAAACCATAAATAAAATAAGTGAAAATTTACTGCACTTTACATTTACTGAGGACTCTTGTTTGCATATGGGAGACAAGGAGGAGTGGTGTTGATGTATGGGGAGGGTGAGGAGGAGGGGAAAGATGATGAGACCGTGCCCTACTCACCTTAAACTCTTTCGTATCCACATTACTGATTCCAGATTTTCTTTTCACACATTTTACTGCCTCTGTTATATGGCAGCCAGTCAGAACCAGTCACTTAGTCACAAGTCAGTTAAGACCAGTCACAGGCAGTCATAACCAAAGGCAGTGTAGCATTAATCAGTTAGGCATTTACAGTCATTCAGCCATTTACAGTCACTCAGGCATTCACAGTCAGTAAACAACAAGAGTTTAATGTCGGGCAGTCTGTCTCCTGATTCACCAGCTGGAAGCAAGGAAGCCTTCTGTATTAATACTGTCCAGATGTGGCTGGGAGGGTATGGGGGATGGAGGTAGCGGGGAGGGTCCGGTGTGGGGGATGGAGGTAGCGGGGAGGGTCTGGTGTGGGGGATGGAGGTAGCGGGGAGGGTCCGGTGTGGGGGATGGAGGTAGCAGGGAGGGACCAGTGGCGAGATGGGGTAGCAGGGAGGGTGCAGTATGGGGGAATGGAGGTTAACCCACAATCCAATAAGTCCCCCTTCACCCCCCCCCCTCATCCATCCAGTTCCCCACACCATCCCTTCAGTTCCCCCCACCATCCCTTCAGTTTCCCCCACCCTTTATCCAGTCCCCTCCATCCATTCATCCAGTTCCCTCACCATCCATCCAGTCCCCTTACCATTCATCCATCCATCCAACCAGTCCCCTCACCATCCATCCAGTTCCCTTACCATTCATCCAGTCCCTCCCACCATCCAGTCCCTCCCACCATCCAGTCCCCCCCACCATCCATCAGTCCCCCTCCACCATCCATCCATCCACCCCCCTATCCATCCATCCATCCACCCCCCTATCCATCAGGGGATGGATGGATAGTTCAAATAATTCAGTATCCATCCACCGGGGGATGGATGGTTCAGATAATTCAATATCCATCCATCCAATTCATCATTATCCATCCAGCCAGTCCCCTCACCATCCATTAACCCCTCTATCCATCCATCCAGTTCCCTCCCTCTATCCATCCATCCAGTTCCCCCACCATCTATCCATCCAGTCCCCTCACCATCCATCTTGAGACCCATGGCATGATATATAATAAGAACTTTACTGTTCAGAAAACAAAAAAGCAGACAAGCAATTAAATTCTTTAAAAAGAATTCGTGCGCAGTCTACACTAGGCAGGATACACTGGTAAACAACTAAGTGTGCCTTGCCCTGCGCCCAGCACCACGCACTCGCTCGACCCATGCACATATCAACAGACGTCATATTCCAAGTAAAAGGTCGTACACCAATTCAAATTTTACAATGAATTTGACATCGTATACCAAAAAATTTGTACTCTAGGGCAGTCATACACCAAGGTACCACTGTATTTACTTCTAATTTTGTTCCGAAATTAGATTATTTCACAGTAAACATAGGTTTTTTTCATGTTCTGCATTCAGCACCAACATTATAGTTAGTAAATATACCATGTTTCTTCATTAGTAACATAATGCAAGGAGGTTTTACTGCATTACTTGCTTTGGGTAGCTTTGGGAAATACTATGAACCGAAGGGAAATGACAATTACACCGGCGTACCCCGGGGAGTCAAGGGCCAGTACCCCACCCCACACAGAGCCAACTGGAAGACTATCTATAGACACCCAGTGACCCCAGATGACAATGCATCAGGGATCCAGTGAGTATTCCAATAAAGTCAAAGCAAAACGGTTAAAGCACGATTACCACCCTAATACTCAAAACCCCAAACAGGCAAAATTACCAACATCTTCCAGTGACCTCCAGCAGAGTCTGCCACACCCCGAGGGCACACCAGGAGCCCACTACTCCACTAAGACCCGCTAACTCACTGCATCTCTCTTCCAAGCCCACATAAAATCTTCGTGATGCATACAGCTTGCATGAAGGTTTTTCCTCCTGATGACTGCACGAGTGGTGATGTTGAAAGATGCGGCACTCACAGTAGCGCATCAATGTTCATAATTTGGCAGAGATTGAAAGTTACCAATGTCTTTTATTTGTGTGAGGATAATGAGAAAAATAAACATGAGTGGAAATGGACTCAGGTTGGCATAGACGAAGAGTTGTGTTAATGGTAGTATCAAGTGTTGCTGTTTAATGAAAGGTGAAAATAATTCCTTACACATTCTTCTTCTTCGCGATAAGTGCTGTTTGCAAAAAGGTTTGTCCTCCCGATGACTGCACGAGTGATGATGTTGAAAGATGCGGCACTCACAGTGGCGCACCAGTGTTGGAATTTTAGGACGGTGAATGTTGTTGTTGGGACAGCGTCAGACCCCTCGCTTGTATCCCTGTGTCAATATTACCATTTTCTTTGAATTGTATTTTTTGAATGAAATATTTACACATTGCTGGAACATTGGTTATAGAATTGTCTCTAAATTCACGTATCTTTTACCAGAAATTTTAGCCAAATATCCCCAGTTTGCTAACTGTAGGTAGTAACTGAGTGATTGTAACCTATCCACCGCTGCCCACTGGATGGGGGGCGGTGTGCAGGACAAACATATAAATTATATAATAATAATAATAATGTTTATTTAGGTAAGGTACATACATACAAGAATTTTTTTTCAAAGATTGGTGGACTTATAGATAGAGCTAGTACATACAATGCCTAAAGCCACTATTACGCAAAGCGTTTCGGGCAGGAAAAACTTAAATGACTAAAGCTTAATACTAATTGAGCATAAAGAGTAAAAAGAAAACATGAAATGAAAAACATAGCTGAAAAAGCAGCACAAATACAATTCTGTCGACAAACAGCGGTCTTTAAAAAAAAACAGACATTGGTTGACAATAGAGGGGTAAGGTAGGTTACAGGGAATTTATTAGGTATAGCTTCGTTTTTATCTTAAACTGGTTGAGAGAGGTACTGTCTTTAACATGGTTGGGAAGGTCATTCCACAATCTGGGTCCCTTGATTTGTAGAGCATTTCTAGTTTGATTAAGTCGTACTCTAGGAATATCAAAACTGTATTTATTTCTGGTGTGGTGCTCATGGGTTCTGTTACAACCTTCTATGAAGCTTTTGAGGTCAGGATTGGCATTACAGTTTAGCGTTTTATATATGTATAATACACATGAGAGAATGTGCAGTGACTTAATGTCTAACATATTCAGAGATTTGAGTAGGGGTACCGAGTGATGTCTGGGGCCAGAGTTGGATATAATTAAATAAAAATAAAAATAAAATAAAATAAAATAAAATGTTTATTTAGGTAAGGTACATACATACAATAAATTTTTACACAGATTGGTTGACTTATAGGTAGAGCTAGTACATACAATGCCTAAAGCCACTATACGCAAAGCGTTTCGGGCATGATAAACTTAAATGACAAGCTTAATACTAATTGAGCATAATGAGTAGAATGAAAACAAGAAATGAAAACATAGCTGAAAAAGCAGCACAAATACAATTATGTCGACAAACAGCGCTCTTTAAAAAAAAACAAAAAAAACAGACATTGGTTGACAATAGAAGGGTAAGGTAGGTTACAGGGAAATTATTAGGTATAGCTTCGTTTTTATCTTAAACTGGTTGAGAGAGGTACAGTCTTTAACATGGTTGGGAAGGTCATTCCACATTCTGGGCCCCTTGATTTGTAGAGCATTTCTGGTTTGATTAAGTCGTACTCTAGGAATATCAAAACTGTATTTATTTCTGGTGTGGTGCTCATGGGTTCTGTTACAACCTTCTATGAAGCTTTTGAGATCAGGATTGGCATTATAGTTTAGCGTTTTATATATGTATAATACACATGAGAGAATGTGCAGTGACTTAATGTCTAACATATTCAGAGATTTGAGTAGGGGTACCGAGTGATGTCTGGGGCCAGAATTGGATATTGTCCTAATAGCAGCTTTGTGTTGAGTAATTAGAGGACGTAAGTGATTTTGGGAAGTTGAGCCCCAAGCACAAATACCATAGTTGAGATATGGATAGATAAGGGAGTAATAGAGAGTCACCAGTTATGTTACGTTGTTGGGTTGATTAGATACACAGTGTTTAGTGAGTTTCATATTTATTTAGTAGTCCTGGATACAGCAGTGTCGTAGACGTTGAGACGAAACCTGGAGCAGAGCAGAGAGCTGAGTGAGGCCGGAGTCGTGGGAGAGCGTGACGGCTCGATTGAGAAATGGTCACTGCTTCACAAGCGGGGATTTTTCTGGCGGGGGAGAAAGAAACAATTGCGCAGCGCGTCCCGCGGCGTTGCGCGGGCAGTTTGGGGCCGTATAAATACGGGCGCACAATGGGGCTCTGCCTCACTCCGCCCGCCCTCGCCGCTGCCCTCGCAAAACCCCACCCTCCCCCCCTTTGCAAGCGGCTGCTTTTGTACCCCCGTCATGCTTTGCACAGTTGTCCCGATTGTCTCCCCACTGCATGTGGGAAGGGGGGTGCAGCGCCGGTTCCCAAGTGTCCCGCTGTCCGCAGCTAATACTTTGCCCAGTCTAGGTGCTAGTAAGCCCTACTTGTAGTCACACCCCCTTCTCCTTATCCATTAGGTCTTTTACGGCCTCTTGGCCGGGTACATTACGTGTTATGTGGTCTCTCACTTATTAGTTATTCTTTGTGTCCTGCCTGTTATATCCTAGTGTTATATAATTACTACACATTTGCACTCGGCCTTAATTCTAGTACCAGTTAACCTTTAGGTTTCTGCAGAATTAGTTTCCATGTCACTATAGGCTAAGGTCTCATACTTACTACGGGTGTACCTTAAGTTAAATCTAGTCCTCGGACTTGGAATTGTTACTGTTAATTCTTACTTTATATATTTACTTTATATATTTTGATATAAACGTTATATATTTACTTTATATATTTACATGTTCAATATTAAGTTTAATATAATATCAACTTTGTTATAAGTCTATAATATAAACCGTGTTTAATATAGACTTTATATAATTACTTACTTTATATTTGAACGTTATATATTTACATGTTCTGCAGAATTTAATCCTCAATAAACTTTAACGCCCCATACTGCCAGTATCTTTCTCCCCCTGGTCAGAAAATGGTCACTGCTTCACAAGCGGGGATTTTTCTGGCGGGGGAGAAGGAAACAATTGCGCAGCGCGTCCCGCGGCGTTGCGCGGGCAGTTTGGGGCCGTATAAATACGGGCGCACAATGGGGCTCTGCCTCACTCCGCCCGCCCTCGGGAACGTCGTTTATTTAATGTTTCTCATTCGTTGCCTTCCTAATTAAGACACTCTAAATTAAGACTTTCTCACACTTGGTGTGAGAAAATACGGAAGGTTTCTTATTTTGTACTAGCAGACATCTCGCGGCATGCCTTGCCCTTATTCATATTTATGTTCTACATTTCAGCACTGACATGCCTCTGCTTTCAGATCACCTCGGATTCACTTTGCCACCAGCCTAACTTTTTACTCAGGCATTCGTAGCCTTGTGCATGTCGCACGTTCAAATCTTCGCGTTCGCTGTGTTACAGTATGCTTGTTTCACCTTTCCTTGTCTTACGTCATTAAGTAAAGTCAGCCAGGATGTCCTATTTGCAGAGTTATAAGTAATTTATTAAGTAAAGTCAGCCAGGAGGTGCTATTTGCAGTATTTGCGGGCCCTTATTTTGCTTTACGTTCCCTGGCCCTGCATTTTGCCTAGTTTCCTCAGTAGTTACAGTACTTTCACTTGGCTCTTGCAGTTTATTCACGTCGCTTATTTGGTTATATTTATGTTATGCATCTCCTCCGTTCTCTTAATGTAAAATTTTATTTCTACAAAATAATGTAAAAGTTAAGCTTTAGGCTGCACAATGAAACTGCTATAAACAATTTTATAACTGCTGCTGATAATGTCAACTGGGAGTCCGAGTTAGGTAACATAGGGGACATCAACCTAGCAGTGCAATCTTTTCTTCAAACAACTCTTAGCCTTTATAACACCCACTGTCCTAGGCTTACAAAACAAGTCACAAGCAAAAGGCTTAACAATCCTTGGCTTACAAAGGGAATACTGAAATCCATTAACAAAAAACACGACCTTGAGAAGAAGTATAGGTTAGGAATTGTCTCCAAAGAATTCTCAAAGAATTACTCATTATTGCTATCTAAGATAATTAGACGAGCCAAAACTAATTACTACGAAGATAAATTTACTCAAATAAAGAGCAACATTAAACAAACTTGGAGCACAATTTCACAAATATTGGGATCAAAGAAATCTTTAAATAACAAACCGACTCTCCTGTCTAATAACGATGGTCAGCTTTCAGCCTCTGATTCTGCTATTGAGTTTAATAGGTTCTTCTCTTCCATTGGTTCATCCCTTGCAAATGATATTCCATCTTCCAGTACTGACATTAAGGACTATCTTACAGGTAACTATCCACAGTCTCTGTACCTAAAGCCTATTAACTCCACTGACGTCAATGAGATAATCCTTTCCCTTAAAACCAAGTCTGGTGCCCTTGAGGAGATACCAACTTTAATTTACAAAAAAGCCTCCAGATCTTTAGCCCCTGCTATTGCTTTGCTCTTCAACAAGTCACTTGAACTCCAAACCTTTCCAGATATTCTAAAAAAAGCGAGAGTAACGCCTGTCCACAAATGTGGTGACCCCACAGATGTTAACAACTACAGACCTATATCAATCCTGCCAAACTTGTCAAAAATTTTTGAAAAACTTATATACAAGCAGCTTTACTCATATCTAGCCAAACTCAATATACTTAGCCCTTGCCAATATGGCTTCAGACCCAAAAAATGCACTAACGATGCACTTATTAGTATGCTTAACTCGATTCATACAGCTCTTGATAAAAAGGAGTTCCCTGTTGGGTTATTTGTGGACCTGCGTAAAGCTTTTGATACTGTCAACCACCATAACCTTCTTCTTAAATTACATCATTATGGAGTCAGAGGACACTCCCTACAATACCTCGAGTCCTACCTTACTGACAGGCTCCAATATGTTTCTGTGAATAATACAATTTCTCCCACCCTACCCATCAACATTGGTGTTCCTCAGGGCAGCATACTTGGCCCTCTCCTCTTTCTCATCTACATTAATGACCTTCCAAATGCCTCCCAACACCTCAAACCAATTCTATTTGCTGACGACACAACCTTCATTTACTCCAGTCCTGACCCTCTTGCTCTAAATGCCACAGTAAATACTGAGCTAAATAAAGTCCATCTTTGGCTAACTGCCAACAAACTCACCCTTAACATTCATTGACAAAACCTTCTATATTCTGTTTGGCAATAAATCCTCTAGTCTTATAAATCTCAAA